TGTTATAATATATTTAAAAAATTTTCTTAAGTAATCTTATTCTATAGAATTTTAAATATATACTGTATATTCAAATTTTTATTATATTTTACTAATTAATTGTTGATTTATAAATAAAATTAAAAATCAAAATTAGTTTTGCACCATACTGTATATAAATTCTTAAAACAATATTATATTACAAGGATGATATTACAATAAAAGTAATTTATATCTGTTTATAAACAGCTAAGTTAATATAATCATTAAGAGAATTTTTGAAAATTTGACTTTTGACTATGCTATCTGAACTTATAAAATCATAATTATAGATTGTAATATTAATTAGGTTTTAATAATATTGCTTGAATCTGTAAAACCATATAATAACTGTTTAAAAAAGTTCAAAGTTTTCACGTGAATGTAATATTGAAGTAGTTGTCATACTGATTAGAAAATGTTATATGATATTTATTGTACAAAATATTATCAAAAAAGACACGTTTTCATTGGCTTTTCCGGTCGATCATATAAAAGGAAATGTGATTAAAGACGCGTTTACAACTTTAACATTAATAAATACTTATGAAAACCTCGAGATCAATAAATTGTAGATATTATATGGTTTTGTACTGAATATGGCACAAAGTTCAAATATCTCGAGAGCAAGATATAGGAGAACTGTACCATTGTGGGAACGCATCACAAGTTGGCCGAGCGATAAACTTGTGGAACTTCAAGAAGACTGGGCGTTAAAAGATTGGGACAAGATTGAACACAATCTTAGGTATATATTTGTTTACGATCTTAAATAAGTAATCGACATCTTGAATCATTGTTCCAATATTTCATAGTTTACCACTTTCGATATTTTTGAATGGTCTATCAATATTTCTGAGACTCGGTCTTCACCCTACGCGTTCCTCATTGGCGTTTTGGGCACGTATTGTTAATCAATATTATATCTTTATATAGTACAAACACTAATAAATAGTCACGTTGTATACTTTCACAAATATAGTTACAATGGTTTGAATGGTCATTATTTTTATTAAGTATTGTAAATACGATGTATGTTTATTCTAGTTCAAAAAAGTACCATTTATTTGAACGCGAAATTAAAGTAAGTCATTTAACTATTTTTTACTTTTATGATATTCAATGTATATCACTAAGGGGATTTTTTTATTTGTCAAAACATTTCATCAAAGGATCGGCCAAATAGTCCAAATGCGCATTTGCAACTATTAGGTGGTATCCCTCCTTCTTGGGCACTAGGGTTTCCCGGAAACATATTGTAAGAAAATCAGACGTCATTAGATATTAGAAAATATTTTGTTATTTATACATATACTATAAATACCGAGTTTTTCATAACCAAAATAAACTCAGATCCAACTTTGAAAATTGTATAATGATGTTTATTAACAATTAAAATATTCCAATAGATTTACTTTGTTTCGTCGATTTACTTCAAACATAATTCGAGACGAACGTCAATGTGTTTGGGTGCTTGCAATGTGGGAACCCCCCGTTCTCTTTCTGGACATTTTTTGGTATAAACTGAAATCGCTGAAGGTATACAATCCTGCACTTATTTTAGTGATGATGATTGATTTAATCTTTTATATTTTAGTTACTATTCTCCTGCACAAGTATTAATCCTTCATTACCTTGATTGGGATAATTGGCGATATATCCTCCCTGCAGCAGCATTTATTGGACTTCACGTGGGTGACATTTAATTATATTATTGAAAATTGTTTGCAGACATGTTTATACCTCAAACCGGTTATTTGATATCTTCTCGTGCTCAACAGCTCACAATTTTAGTCAGAGCATTTCAATCATTAATCAAAGATAAACAGACAGTTTTCGGCGAAGTCTATAACGAATACAATATGAAATTAGTTTATCCTCACCTGTTCGTTCGTAAGTATGAGGTTTCTACACAAACCGTTCCCGTTTCTGGCTGGACTAGTTAAGGAGAAAATCTTTTGAACAAATTATTAAATACACGAATATTGGATGGCGATTGTTTATATGATTAATCATTTGAACGAAAATCTCTGGGTTTAATATTACAATCCATAGTATTTAAAATTAATAAAATTTATAGAATTTAAAGTTTTTTACAAATATGTATAGTTGTTAATTATTAATTAGAAACAAAAAGTTTTTTAAATATATACGTAATTATAATTTTTTTTTAACTTTAATTATATAATAATATAATTATTGCGATATTATAAATTTCAGAACTATTAGAAATGAAAATATAATTCTAAATAAGGATATAAAATGTAATTCAAACGTAACTAATAATAATAATAATAATAAACTATTTACGAATACTTTTTTAAATAAATTATTTAATCCAAGTAATTTTTAATTGTTTTCATTAAAATAAAAAATATGTATTTAGTATTGATAAGCGTTTTATTTAACAATATACGTATATTTAGATCGTATATAATATTCAAAAAAACATAATTTGTTTATAAAGTTTTTAATTAATTAGTAATTTAATTTAGTAAAAAAGTAAAATTAAAAAATGTATTATTAAAATATAAAAATAAATTAAATGACATTTTATAGTTTTCATTGGTGTGGTAATTGACATTGTTGCTGTAATTGTTGTTATTGTTATTGTAATTGTTGTTGTTGTTATTGTTGTTGGATTGATAAATAGATTTAAACTGGTTTTGTTTATTTTATTAAGGTAGTGTAACAAATTCTGATTGGACAGTTGCCAAATATCAATCAATTGGAAATATAAATTGATTTTAGTTTGTGATTGAAAAAAATTATAGGTTTTTTTGAATAATATAATAAGTATTGTTAAGATAAATTTTTGAATAAAGATTGTATTAAAACAACCAATAGACTTTAAAACTTTATTTGAATATGTTTTTTGAAAAGTGTTTATAAGTTTAACAAATATAATAATAATAATAATATAATTTTTATAATATTAAAAAAATATAAATTGTAAGAAAACAAATATATATATATATACTGCTATAGGTCTTTTTCATATAATCAAAAAATAAACAAGACTTTTAAACTTAAATAGACTTTAACTAGAGATTCTATTCTATTGTATCAATTGTTTTTAATATTTTTGAGTTTCTAAGCTAAATTTATTTATTATATATTTTAAATAGTAAAACAAATAAACAATAAGTAATCATCAATAATATATATAGATGATATAATATAATTTACAAATTCAAATAAGAAAATATAAAAAATTATAAACTTAATAGATAACTATACAAATATTACAAAATTAAAATTAAACCCAACAAACCAATTTTACTTATTATTAATAATATATAATAATCTATTATTCAATTTTAAACAAATCCAATTTATACAAAGGTTTTTTTTCTAGACTTCTCTTTCTTTTACCATTCCATTTCATCAATCCTCTAGTTTGTTATCTCCCTATCTCAACCAAGCTATCAACTTTACTTAAGTCAATATTTTACTTGCTCAAGAAGTATAGGCTTCTTCTCAAGATTTCTTTCCTTGTTCTAAAGAGCTTAATATAGAAAAGATCAACTTAGTTTTACACCAATTGAAAGATCAGGATTATGAGAATGTTATTGGTCTCATTATTCTAAAAGTTCTAGGCACATCTTTCCATAATCAATAACTATATATCAAGCCAGTCAAATGTGAGAAGAGATTGTAAAAGGAGGAAATTTGACTGGCAATACCAATCGCATAAGAATTTGCTTTGCTGAAAGCCTAGACTGCTAACCAGTGTATCAGAAGTATATAGTTATAAGCAACTCTATCTTGAATACCTGACAATACCACCATTCCACACATTACTCAAGAAGAATAACTACAGGACTGTCTTCTTGTTTTACCTAGCTCCCAAATGTTTCATAACAAAAATTATAAGCAGCTTATTCCTATTAAAAGATCGGTGTAAGTCAATCATGCCATATTGGTATCCGGGTTACTAATATGGACAGGATCAGTGACCCTTAATCACATTATCTTTGGCCATATGGTTACACAGGTCCAGGCCACAATTCAAAACTCAAACACCACACTACCCTCCACTATCATCACCTATGGAACACATATGCAAGGTTTACAATACAACTAGTAGCTAGTTATTTTATCTTTTTTTTTTTTTCCTTACTTGAATTCTTAAAGGTTCACATATGTCAACTTTATTTGCATTAGGCTAGGATTAATCTACTTACTTTATATGTTAGAGATCATTAATATAATGATGTAAAAACGAAAGTTTAATAAATGTCTTGCATTTAATGCCTTTTGCAAAAAAAAAAAAACAAACTCAATTTATACTTGAAATAAAGTTATATCAATAAAAATTTTAAATATATAATAACAAGTTTAGAATTAAAAAACATTAAAAACAATTAACAATAAACAAAACAACTTTCATAATAAGATTCTTACAATTAAAAAAAATAATTGACAAATAATACAGATACTGTATATTATAAATTAAGTACTCATATCATATTAGAATATCTTATTCAAGATACAATATTATTTCAATAGAAATATAATACAATTAACAATAGAGTTATTGAATTCTTCAAATATAAATTAATTTTTTCAATAATAATAATTAACAGTAATATTTATCTTTATACAAGTTACAAAATCTTTAATATATATAATAAACAAATCAAATTACAAATAACTAAATAGATTTAAATTAAAACTTTAATAAAAATAATATTACAAATTAAATTATAAAAACAAAGCTTCAATATTTATAAAATTGGACATGGATCATAAAAAACATCTTGAATGTTGAATACTTATTACTATTTTTTAAATTGTAGAATATTTTTTTTATAATATTTAAAATTTTTAATTAAAAAATATATATAATTTGTCTAAAAAGTCTTTGAACAAATATTTTTTATAATAAATAAATAAGTATTTATTTAATTGTTATAAAATTTTAAAGATATATTTTTTAGAATATAAAAAATAAAAGTTTATTTAAAAAAAATTTTTTTTTTGAGAGGGGTTTTTCCTATAGGTAAACATCATTTCTTTAATTTATTTGTATATGACAATATATATATTGTAAAAGAAACAACATCTCTTACATACATAAAGCAGCAAGTTAAATGCTAACTTGTCTACATATACACATCTAACTAATATTGAAAAAGAAATTTAAAATAATATTATATACTAGCTGTATCTAAATAGTGGCTATACCTACCTACTCAGAAAATTTTGTGAAGTCTTTTGTTTTTGAATGTAAAGTAATTAAATAAAGAAAAAAAACATTAACATTACTAAAACTGAAACTAAGTCAAATAAACTGTAAAGTCTACAAGTAGAAAACCAATTATTTTTCCAAGAGAACTCCCAGACAGGCTCATGATCCCATCTCTCTGACTCTTTGGTTACTATAGACAATAGAATATATGTAATATTGTTTACTGTTATAATAGTTGTTGTTATTATTGTTGTGTGGATATATTTGGTGGTTGATATAGTAATTGGTTTGATTAACAGTAGTATGATTTTTTTAAGCATTACTAAGACTAAAACCAAATCAAATACACTGTAAAATCTATAGGTAGAAAACCAATTATTTCCCTAAAAGAGCCTCTAGATAGGCTCATGGTTCCATCTTTTTAGCTTTTTGGTTACCATAGATAATAAAATGTATGTAATGTTATTTGTTGTTATAGTAGTTGTTGTTATCATGTTGGTATATTTAGTAGCTGATGTGATGATTGGTTTGGTTGTCGATAGTGTGATTTTGTTTTGATTGTTATTACTAAAAGTGGTTTTGTTTATGTTAATCATTGTATAGTGTACTAGTAGTATAAATTTGTTTTGAATTTTGATAGTGTTTAATTGATTGAATTTGAAATGGTAATTAATTGACAGGAGTAAGCTGATTGTGGTTTTTTGGTGAGAAATTTTTTAAGTGTAAATTTTTGATTTTTTGTGGTGTAGCAGTATGTGCTAAACAATGTTGAGAAGTAAGTATTGTAAATATTGCTGGTGCCCAAACCAACAACATATACAATTTTGAAATAGAGTTTAATTTTTTGAATAAAAGAGCAAAAAATTTATTTATTTAATAAAAAATATATATTAATAAAAAGTAAAAATAGGAAGAACCTAAAAAACTCTTTCCCGTAAATCGATTTTTGGCAAAAAATTTCCTTTTATAGTAATAACCTTTAAAACAAACACTTT